AGAGAAAGAAATATACATATAGTTGACTAGGCATGTGTGGACAAAGAATATGATTGTGAGAGTTTCAATAACTCTCACGGACGAGTGAATATGAGTCCTAGATGTCCGATGGTATATGTGACAGAAAGGGAGAAGAGAGAAAGGAAAGATTGAAAGACACAATGTACATATTATATACACATAAACAAAACATATATTGTTAGAGTGCTCTCTAACACCATCTCCCTTCCTTCTTAAATTGAGCGCAGCACAATTTACGATAATGATCAACAACACAAGGAAAGAGAAAAAAAAAAATTATAATAAATAACGATCAACCATGGACGTAAATTTTATTTGTTGTCGACCTTTTTCTTCCGCTAGTATTCCTTCTAATTGTAGTTGTTCATTTATTATTTATTTCATTACATTTTATTGTGGTGCATAAAATCGGCGTAATCGATTAACATGAACTTTAATAATATCATATAAATTATTTGGGTTTTGTATTCGATATATTGATTCATTTAATTGTTGAATTATTTAATATGGACCGCGATATTTTGGAGTTAATTTATGACCTAAACCAATTCGTTTAAAATAAACAAAATCACCTATTGAATAAATTTCATTTGTACGATTTGCATCATAACGTTGTTTTGATTTTTCTTGACCATGTATAATTTGTGTACGAGCTATTTTTTTTGTTAATTCTAAATGTTCTTTCAATTGTTTAACATATTGATATGGTTCAATAATTGTTGTTGTTTGTGGTAAATCAAATGGTAATTTACATAAACGTCCAAACATCATCTCATATGGTGTTAATTTTGTAGCAACATGACGACTGGTATTATAAGCAAATATTAATTTTGATAATTGTTGGTCCCAATCTGTTCTTTTGTTGTTACACATTGCTGCTAAACTATCACACATTGACGAGTTGAATCTTTCACAAGTACCATTTGATTGTGGATTATATGGTGTTGTATAAGCATGACAAATTCCGTATAAAGATGTAATCGAATTAAATAATTCAGCTGTGAAATGTGTACCATTATCAGTTAATATTTGATTTGGTGTATCATATTTTAATATTACATCTTCCACTAACACCTTTGCTGCACTTAATGCTGCTTTATCACGAGTTGCTTTTCCAACCACAAATTTAGATAGTAAGTCTGTGATGACTAAAATGTATTTATTTCCTGATGATGATGGTGGTGTAACTGGACCCATAAAGTCCATAGCTAAATTTTCCCACACGCCTTGAGGTGGATTTATCGGATTTAAATGGCCATTAGGTTTTCTTCTTGAAACTTTATTGATTGAACAATTTGGACAAGATTTAACATGTTGAGCTACATCTTGGTACATTCTGGGCCAATAAAATCGTTCACGAATTTTATAATACGTTCGATCTTTACCAAAATGTGCACCATTCATGGACGAATTATGGTATGCTAATAAAATATCTTTAACTTTAGTTTTTGGTACCACTGGTACCTTCCTAATTCCATTAAATCTATTAATATTACGATGTAATATTCCATTTATCAAACAATATTTACTACTAAATCGTTTTTTCCTTATATCTTCTATAATTTTCCTAATGGATACATCTTGTTGTTGATAATGTTTCAATTCTTCATTTGTAAAAACTTTAATTTCATTAGTTCTATTTGATAGATTTATTTGTTGAGATGATTCCGTCGTTGGTGATTGCTGAAAATTTTGCGCTATTGTTGACATTGGATCAATTGGTTGTTGTACAGGTTTGACTACCGTTGATGTTGAATCAATTAATTCTTGAGCCGGTTTTTCTGTTATTGGTATTTGATCAACTACTTGTGGAATAGGTTGAACTGTTATTGATGTTGGTCTAGCTGGTTGTCGAACAAGTTGAGTTGCTATTGGTATCGGGTTAACTGATTGTTGAACATGTTGTGCTGTTGTTAATGTTGGATGAATTAATTGATGAATAGGTTCAGCTGCTGTTTGTGTTAAATCAGGTAAGTCTAATGAACGTTGATGCATTCGACGAGTTGTTACTGCACCAACAGTTGATTGTTGTATTTCGGTTTGAGTTGATACTGAACGTTGCTCGATTTCATCGTCATCACATGGTGGGTTAACCGGATAACGTGAAAGACAATCAGCTACACAGTTGATTTTCCCTTTAACATGTTCAATTCGAAATGTATAATCTTGAAGTGCCATTCTCCATCTATTAAGTTTCGGGTTGTTGTTGTATTTTCGGTTTAGCCAACATAGTGCATGATGGTCAGTTCGTACAATAAATTCACGTCCGGATATATAATGATCCCATTTTCGTATTGATGATACAACAGCAAAGCATTCTTTTTCTGTTGCGCTCCAATTTCGTTGTTGTTTATTTAATTTTTGGGACATAAATGCTACTGGTTGTTCACCTTTTCCATGATCCTGCATTAATGCTGCACCTATTCCAAAATTAGAGGCGTCAACTTGGATAACAAATAGTGTATCTGAATCAGGGAATTGAAGTAATACATTTGATGTTAATAATTGTTGTATTTTATCAAATGAATTTTGTTGTTCGACGTTCCATATAAATTTGGCATTTTTCTTTGTTAAATCAAATAATGGTTGAGCTAACATAGAAAAGTTTGGAATATGATTTCGATAATATTCGGCCATTTTAATGAAAGATGTTGCTGCTTTAACACTACTTGGTGTTGGTATTTCATTAATAGCGCGAACTTTATCAGGACAAGGTGCTATTCCATCTTCATTAACAACATGTCCTAGAAATTTAATTTTCTTCTGGAGAAATTCATATTTAGCTGCATTAAGTCGAAAATTAGCATAATGTAATAGAGATAAAACTTGTTCTAAATGATGCAAATGATCAGATTTTGATTTTGAATAAATTATAATATCGTCTATATATGCTAATGCACAATGCCATTGTAAACGACCTAATAATTTATTAACAATTCTTTGGAAGGTGGGAGGACCGTTTTTAATTCCTTGTGGCATCACATTATATTCCCAAAATTTGTCCCTGGTAACTAATGCAGTTTTCGGTTTATCTAATTCATCAATTGGTATTTGATGATATCCTCCATGAAAATCTAATTTTGAGAAGTATTTTGATCCATTAAGTGTATCAAATATTTCTTGTATTCGTGGTAATGGATAATTATCTTTTTCGGTAACTTCATTTAACTTCCGATAATCGATGCAAAATCTCCAAGTGTTGTCTTTTTTCTTTTGTAATACCACGGGAGACGCCCAACTAGATTGTGATGGTCTAATAATGTTATCTCGATAGAATTGTTCACACATTTCCTCGATTATTTTTTTCCTGTGCAGCTGTTTTCCTATATGGTCGTTGAACAATAGGACGAGTATTTTTAAGTTCAATTGTATGTTTAACAGTAGTTTTAATTGTTGTTGCTTTAGATGTATCAAATATTCCGCCATATTTAATAAGAATTATTTCAACTTCTTTTTTATCGCGTGCGTTTGGAATATGTTCAACTAATCCTTTAATATTTTCAAGCACAACTGGTGGAAGTTATTGTGTTGAACCATTTATATCGATACTAGAATAATGACCAGCTTCATATAAATGATTAAATAATTCCTTCTTCGATAAAAATTCTTCATAACAAATACGACATTTTAATTCTAGTGGTTTAACTGTTTCAACTTGTTTTGTTGGTAATAATGGTAAAGATATTGAACTTGGTGTTGGAAAACTAACTGTACCAAGTATCATTTTTCTGTTTAAATATTGAGGTATTTTATTTGCATTCATCACAGTAATCCACGTAATTCCATTTTCAATTTTTAATGAGGTATGTGGTGTTAATATTCTTTTCTTTTTTATAAAATCTTCTGCAGGTGTAAATACAACAGTATCAGCATTTTTTATTTTAGCACGTACAGGTATTATCATTTCTTGTTCAGGTAAAATGTGAACTGGATGAATAGGTAAAACAAAATATTTCTCTTGATCATAATTTGAAAATGGAGCAATAATTGTATATTTTCCATAATGTTTTCTAATACATTTTTCACTTGTGATAATATCAATACAATTTTGTGTAATCCAATCATTACCTAAAATTAAACCAGTACATAAATCTACAGCTACCTCAGCTAACACAAATGTTGGAATATTTTTAATATGAATTTTTAATTTTACTAAACCAATTGTATTTAATTCGCTATTATTTGCTGTTCGATGTATATTCTTTTGATATACAATATGTGGTTGATGAATTAATTTACGTAAAGTTTTAATGTGGATGATGGAGTTTGCTGAACCGGTATCAACCATAGCATTAATTAATATATGATTAACATGTAAACTAACAATAAGAGGTGTAGATGGATTTTTCTTGTTATTAGGAACAGCACCATCATCTACTGTTCCTATTGTTCGTTTAAATGATGTGGACAATATTTCTGTAAATGACCTTTTTGTCCACATTTAAAACAATTTCGATAATCATTGTTTTGATAATTATTAATATTCCGACTTTTGCTGTTCCTAATCATTTGGCCATTATTTTGTTGAAATTGTGGAATATAACTTGTTGCTTGTGGTGGTTGTTGAACATATGATCCATAGTAATTTTGATGATTAATTTGTTGGTGTTTTTTTGCTGATAATTCTGTTGGAAATTTTGTCGATGTTGTTGATGATAATTTGGTTGATGTTGTTGATAATTGTTTTTACGATATTGTTGATAATATGGTTGAGGATGAGGTTGAGTTGCAGCAACAGTTGAATATCCATTAGATTCAAAATAATATGTTGGATCAGGTAATTCAAGTGATACATTTTGTTTACGATGTTGAGCCATAACTTTTTCACTTGATTCAAAATTTTTCGCTTGAGTCATAAATTCTTCTGGTGTTTGAACATTTAATGGTAAAATCTTTTCTTTTAATTCATCACGAAGACCACATACTAATTTAATCGTTTTATCAATAGGGGACATTTTTGGATCATAGTCACGACATAATTTATCTAATGAATAATAATAATCATGTACTGATTCATCAGGACCTTGTTTTCGTTGATTTATTTGTTCTGATAATAAATGACGATTTTGTGTACGTTCAGGTGGAGGAAATGCTCGTTGAAATGCTTCACGAAATGCTAACCACGTTGTGTAAAGTACTGGATTATTACGATACCAGTCAAAAGCTGTATCCTCGAATTTAATTGCGATTCGGGCTAATCGATCACCATCATTAATGTTAAGTGCATTAAATATTATTTCAGCACGATCACACCAATCACGTGAATTATCTTGTGCAGTTCCATGGAATGTTTTAATACTTTCAAATGCTCGTGCCACTGGATCAGTCATAATTGTAGTTGGTGGTCCTTGTTGTTGATTGTCTTCTTGTTCAGTAGATAGTTCACGACGTCGAAGATTATAATGATGAGCCAGCGTACAGGCCAATACTTAATTAAATTTTCTATTTCACCAAATCTATTTTCTTTGTATAAATGAAATACTTCAAATTTCTTCCGGTTCGATCGCTATTGTTGATAATAACTTGAACGGGTCACGGCACCAGTGTTACAGATGAGTAACTTTATTGGGATCAAAAAAAATACTTTATTCGAACGCACTAGCATAAGTCATAACTGACCACACCAATCCTTTCCCTCATCGAAAACCAGCTTTATATACATACACACGTCCGACCACACCAAGAGAGAGAGAGAGAGAAAGAAATATACATATAGTTGACTAGGCATGTGTGGACAAAGAATATGATTGTGAGAGTTTCAATAACTCTCACGGACGAGTGAATATGAGTCCTAGATGTCCGATGGTATATGTGATAGAAAGGGAGAAGAGAGAAAGGAAAGATTGAAAGACACAATGTACATATTATATACACATAAACAAAACATATATTGTTAGAGTGCTCTCTAACACTTGTGAATAAGGTTCCTATGAAAATTTTCGAGTTTTTTAAATGTCATAAGTACTTAGAGCATACCAAACGTAGTGGCAGTGACACTTTTTTACTATACAGTAAGCTTGAAAAGCTTTTCTTTCTATACTGTCTGATAGAGACAAAGAAGCTCTATCTTTCTATGTTATTCGATCATACTTCAACTAATATTATAATATCAAATTATTTATAAAACTTCTTTTTGGCACCATGCCTGCTGGATGTAACCGATGATAATTTACTTTTCAACATTTTTCATTCGCTTTTCCCTCTTTATTCTTCCTCTTTCTTTTCCTTTCTCTTTACTCTTTTTCTCTCCCTTTATTTCATCTAATGTTCGAAGTAATCACTGTTGTTATCCACACACGGTTGCATTCGTTGAATCCATTTATCGAATGTTTTTCTATACTTTTCATCGTTTGAAGAATTCATAAAGTTGTCCATAGCACGAAACAACGATTCCGAGTTATTTTGATCAGACAGGTTTTGTTTGATAAAATCGGGTGTGGGTGTGATTGCTAGGATGTGTGTGCGTGTGAGTGATCGAAAAAATAGCCCACGCCACACACACGACACACGCCCACGCCACACTCCACACCCGCACATCACATCTCACAATCCACCCACACCTACATCCCACCCCATATCCATACTCCGCACCCACACCCACACGAACGCCTACACTCTTACAAATACTCCCCCCTCCCCCCACCCCATCCTTTACACTCCTGTTTTGTTACCTTTTCCTTTATAGAATGGTAGAATAAGGCCTTTTTTCCAATCCGAAGGAATGACTCCGGATCGCCAGACATTTTGGTAGATATCGGTTAGACAGGTACTACAGTCAACACCCACAACTTTCATCATCTTCGGGATGATATTGAAAATACCCGGTGCTTTGCCGTTTTCCATTTTGTTTAGACATTTAATAAATTCATTCATCATTGGTTCGCTGCAATTGATGGTTGAGTTTTCGATGGCTGATTGAGCAGCGATAGTTAGTTTCTCAGAGTTGGGTCGGTTGAAAAGTTCAGCATAATAGCTACGCCAGCATTTCACTTTTTGTGAGTTGTCGCTGATCAGATTGCCGTTTACGTCGAGGATTGGGCTGGATACGGGTCTGGTGGCCTTAGTTAAGCGTCAAAAGTTAGCAAAAGCGTCCCTTACTTCACCTGCGATCAGTGCCGCCTCACTGTCTGTCGCCATGTTATCAGCCCATTGTTGTCGATCCAGTTTTAGATTTGTCTTGCATTGTTTGTTCAATTTTTTGTATTCGTCATGTTTGTTGAGAAGTCTTGCTTGTCTCTTTTTCTCAACCAATGTAAGGGTAGTGCCGCTGACCCACGACTTCTTGATTTGTTTGCAAATACCTAATTGCTTTGTTGCCACATCGTCTAATGTTTCCTTGAATTTGTTCCAGTTGGAGGTCTCTTCAATTGATAATGTAGCGAAGAGGTTGCTTATTTCCACTGCGTATTGAGATTGCGCTGCAGGATCTTCCAGCTTCCTTATGTTATAACGTAATGTACGTAACTTTTTCTCGCTTGTGCGTTTTAGCCTTAGCGCCATTGTAGCGATTACAGGTCGATGGTCTGCGTCGAATTCCAGACTACGATAGACGCGGCAATTTTGCAAGGCGGACTATGTAGTGTTTACCAGAATGTGGTCGATTTTCTTGACGGTCACCCCGTCGTTTGAGCACCATGTGTGCCTGTGTATATCCTTACCTTTGAACCATGAACCACCGATTCTTAAGCCAGCTCCCAAACAGAAATTCAGTAGCCTCGCAGAGTTGTCGTCTGGGGCGCCACTTCCATACGGACCAATGACGTGTTCCATATTGATTCCTGACGTTCCCGTAACAGTATTGAAGTCACCAAGACAAATGATAAGGTCGCTTTGATGTGTTGTTTTCATTGCTTGTTCAATTTGTGAATAGAAGGCATCTTTGTCAATGTCGTTCGCCTCATTCGTGGATCGTGAGAGCGTAGGCTACTATTAATGAGAGACAGCCGAAGTTATGTTTGAATCTGGCCGTCAACAGTCTTTCCTTGATTGGATGCCATGAGATCATAGATACGACGGCGGTCTGACCGAGCGCAAGAGCCACTCCTGCAGACCGTAGAGCGCCAACAGTTGGACCGGACCATACAATTTTATAAGAGCTACATGTTGTTTTACCGATATCGGGCCAGCGCACTTCTTGGAGAGCCATCATGTTGATTCTTGCTTTTGTCAAGTTCTGAGACGATCGTGGTAGCTGTACCTGTCTCTAGTAGTGTTCTTATGTTCCATGTACCAACACGAAAAAGTTTCTTGGGCGAAAAACTTTTTCCTTGAGAGTTGTAAGAATTGTAAGGATTTCGCCTGATGACGACCGAGTGGGTCTTACTTCCGACCCTGCCGGACGCGGGTCCCACTCTTGATGGTTGGGATCCGTTTACATCATTAGTGGTGACAGTATTTTGGTTTTATCTCATAGTGAATTGCGTAGGCAGAGAGTTTCCCTGGTTCTTTGCCGAGAGAACGCAGGTAAGATGGCTGACCGTTTATGAAGAAGATCTTCAAGTCCGCTCTAGACCGGCCACCTGATCACCGCCTGTGTTGGCCATCGTTTTCAGGGTTCTCATTGAGCCTATCTACCTTGCGTAGCACCCTAGGTGATTCTTCAGCCGAAGCTTTTATCACTGATGGCATAGTCTCAACGAGCATTCTCCTACTCAGATGTTCGCCCCCACACCATGACGAGGTACAGGACGGGTTTTGAAGGGGTTATCTTAAGTTACGTTAATGAAAATTATTTTTTAATATCAGGCTCGATAAAATAATTGTTTATTTTAAGTTAATTTGATAGCACAATCTGTTTTTTTTAATGTTAGATTCAATTAGATGGTTCTTTATCTTAGTTGAATTGATAAAACCCTTTTTTCTAATATTGGATTCAATAAGGTGGTGTCTTTTATCTTAAATTAAATTAATAGAAAGTTTTTTTTAATATCCGGCACGATAAAATAATCATTTGTCTTAAGTTAAATTGATAACAGTTTTTTTTAATATAAGATTCAATAAGGTAGCTTTTTATTTTGGTTAAATTGATAGAAGTTTTTTCTTATGTTAGCTGGAGTAAGTTAGTCCTTGGTCATCAGAGAAATTAATATAAAAAAATTCTTTTTTTATATTAACTTTAATAAATTCTTTATCTGAAGCTAAGTTACAAGAAAGTTTTTTTCGAAATGTTAGCTTCGATAATGTAGTTGTCCGTCTTAAGCGAAGTTAATCCAAACTTTTTTTCAAATGTTGGATCCAATAAGGTAGTATTTTTTTTATCTTAAGTGAAATTAATAGAAACTTTTTTCTAACATTAAGCTCGATAAATTCTTTTTCTTCAAGAAATTCGTCGTAAAAGTAATTTTCATCCATAGAGATAGGATAGGGATAGAAACCTTCTTTCGTTTATATAGTTGAATAGAAAAATCGATTTTCACACGCACATCAGTAAATAATATAAAGACATACTACTCAATCAACATTGACACACGTCGTCAGTTTCATAGCGATCACTTAAGTATTCTACCATCCTTTACATTGATTAGTTCTAATAATAATAATAATGATAATAATAATAATAATAATAATAATACTTTTTTGCTTAGTTGAGGTATATTTATTTATCTTCCATACGTAATATAAATAAGTTTGAACAATTTATTCATGCACATTTCCTTCAGTACTTCGATATGCAGAATTAGGGCTCCTAAAATATGTTGGATATAAGCTTCGAAAATATTTAGGTGTCTAAGAAGGATTAAGGAGATATTCGAGTAGTAAAAATGATTTAGAAAAGCATTTATTTGATATATACGTACCAAGAAAGAGTTTAGAGAAGAACTTGAGGTATGTTCAGATATCCAGAAAGGAGTTAGGGAGAGACTTAGGAGATACTGAGACATTTAGAAGAATTAAGAAAGGCTTCACGATTTAGGGGAGAGTTTAGGACATGCTAAGATGCTCAAAAATGAGTGAGGGAAGAGTTTAGGAGGTATTGGGATACTTTGAAAGGAGTTAGGAAATAGTTTAGAAGATTTTGAGATACTCAGAAAAGCTTTTGGAAAAGGTTTAGGACATTCTGAGATACTCAGTAAGGAGTTAGGAATGAATGTAAGAAACGTTTTGATAACAATTATAAGCGTTGCCTAAACCATTTCTGGAGATCTAAAGATCTTCTAAACTTTTTAAAAACCTCTTGAGTATCTCAGTGTCTCCTAAACCGTTCCCTAACTTCTTTTTGAGTATCTTAATATCTCCTAAACCCTGCCATGACTTCTTGCTGGGTATCTGCAAATCTCCTAAACCGTTTTATAAATCCCTTCTGGGTATAGCAATATCTCCCATACCCTTTCCTAAACCCTTTAAAAGGGTTTATCGAAGAGTTTATTGTTTTCCTAAACCCTTTGAAAGGGTTTATCAAAAGGTTTATGATTTTCCTAAACCCTTAAAAGGGTTGTTGAAAGTATAACGTATAATAAACCCTTAAAGGGTTTATACACTTCCTAAACCCATTCCTAAACCCTTTGAAAGGGTATATTAAAGGGTTTATTAATTTTCTAAAATCTTTATTAAACCCTTAAAAAGGGTTTAGGAAAATTTTACATACGATAAAAAAGATTTATTATACACTGAAAAAAAAGGTGCCACACGAAACCTCTGAGGTTTCGTGGAGTTTTACTATACTAAATACGTGTCCGTAGGATCATGCGAAACCTGTATGAGGTTTAGCAATATCCAAGGTTTTGTAAAAGACTCTAAAGAATTTTAAAATATAAAAAGCTTTCGTACTGAATCCTTCGAATTTTATATTACCCCATAGGTTTGATCAAAAACCCTTTTGAGTTTCGTATTCAAAAGGGTTTCGTAATATACCTCGCGTAAAATTCGTCCATCGGTAAATCACCATTCAAAATAATTTCTTTTTTCTGCCATTCAGAATTTCCAAAGAACTCGATTCACACGCATGTAGAAAACCGGTTTCAGAGTTTTTAAAAATTTTTAAAAGGTCCCCAGCTTAAAAAATCTTGAATGCTTTACAAAAGACAACATGACCTCGGTTCTAATCATTTCAGATGAACGTTTTCTATCATCAAACAGGATACATCAAAAATTGGACCCCTCCAAAGTCCGATTTTTTATTTCACCTTTGTTCTAAATTCTGACGAAACTTTGCAACAGATTATCGAGGTTCAGGAATCCGAATCCGACATCATCTGTTCGATCCGAGCTCCCATAGGTCAGAAATTGGGTCCATCAAACAATCAAGGGCTCCAGAGTTACACTTTTCATTTCAGCTCCCCTCTCAATTCTGATCAAAGTTTATAATAGGTTATCGATGTCCAGGAGTCCGAATATGTTATCAGTTTTTCTCTGAGATGTTCCATTAATGAGAAACTCCGCCGATCACAAGTCCAAAATTCATAAGGTGGACTTTTTTATTTCAACTCCCCTCTCAATTCTGTTCAAAGTTTGTAATAGATTATCGATGTCCAGGAGTCCGAATATGTTATCATGTGTTCGATCGAAGCTTTCATTGGTCAGAAATTCGGTCCATCGAAAATCAATTTTATCATCGTTGTTATAAAAGTTTTTTCTAAAGATGCGATGGACATTGCGTAACCATACATTAGCGGCTCATAATATCGTAGTATTGTTTCTTGGCAAAAGAGTTTAATAATTAAAGCCTACGTGGATTTTGATAGTTTGGTTTGTTTATAGCGTTTAGGTTAAAGATGCGTTCGCTTACAACTATTTTACCAGGAAACTGTTTTTGAGTATTTACAATTCGAGAGGCCTGTGAGTCGGTATTCAGGATTAGAATAGATAGATCGGTCCTATCGATATCAGTATCGAACGAAAATACTTCTAATCTATTCAGCCGAGGTGAAGTGAGTGGAAGAGGTGATAGTTACGCTTTTAATTTTTTTTTAGAGCAAGCGTCATTTAATCAAATGTTAATGGTAAGTTCTACTTTCAAACTTAAAACCTGATGAAATATTTTGTTTCTCCTTAGATCGATTGCCTGATGAACAAATATTAATGTTGAGTTTGACTTAAAAAAATGCAATCTGATGAAATATATTATTTCTATTTAGATCAAGCGGCAGTTGAAATTGAACAAATAATAAGGGTGAGTTCGATTTTGAAAGTTAAAAGCTGATGAATTATTTTATTTCTTTTTAGATGAAACATCCCATACTGATCGCTTCACCCACCAGAATCTGGAGGAACTGGCAGAAAATAAGCCTGAAAGTCGCCGTATTCTGTAGGAGAATACATGGTATCGGTGCAACATGGAAACAGTATCCCGATCGCAAATTTTCCTGATTTTTCTAGTAAGGTCCGACCAACTTGCAATGCCTTTCAGCATGATGCGGCGGAAATCATTCAAAAAAAATTGGAAGTTTGCGGTCGGAATACTGCTTCTATGTTCCAGTGATACTCTGTGTTTCCCTACAGGATACAGTGATTCTAAGACATCTTTCCTGGTGGTTTCTATAGAACCCGGCTCTTTTTTGGAGAGTGGGTATGTTTTGCATTGGATATTGGTGAAAAACTACTTTCATAATGGAGCATAGCACTCGGCGAATCTTTCATTCAATATTGCGTGGTGAATTAAACGGAACCCAAAGTACGAAACCCTTGTTATTAGCTATTAAAAATTAAGGCTTTTTACGAAACCCAATTTCTACGAAACCTCAAAGGATTTCGATTTCGTTACAAAAATCGGATACCTTTGGGATTTCGTATGGTACCTATGTTTTTTTCAGTGTAATAAAACATAAATGCTTTTGATGCAATCATAACAGAGTTCCAAACAGGTCGAGCCAATACTATATTGATAATAAAATATAAATCTCTATAGAAAATTCAAAATGTCAATGCGACC